AAGAAAAGAAACAGGTTTTTAATGACTGTCATAATTCAGAACATGGTGCACATTTGAGTAAGAACAAGGTAATAACAAAAGTGTCGGCAAATTTTTATTGGCTAGGAATGGTAAAATACATTGAAGACATGATTTGTCGTTGTGACCAGTGCCAAAGAATGGAACAAATTAATAGAATCTTCTGTTGTCCTGACCAGCTTTTGTACAGATACTTTCCTAGTTTCTATTATCATAGTTTCTTACACATTATATAGCTGACCAATCCCTTATGTGTAAGCTACCTCTATTACTACTATGCCATTTCTCTCTTACACTAATTTTTCTTACTTTATTGTGTGTTATAGTGTATATTGTGTTAATTCTGATAAAGGTTGAATAGCAACTTGTGTAGATACTCACCTGTGTGTGAGTCAAGTTAAACATCTATCATAGTAACTAACAGACTGTTACATATTTCAGGAGTACACAGAAGAAATAGAGAAGCTTAGGAAAGACTTAATAGCTGCCCGTGAGAAGAACGGCATTTACTTAGCAGAGGAAAACTACATGTACGTATATCGGGAGAAGAACGGTGTTTACTTAGCAGAGGAAAACTACATGTACGTATATCGTGAGAAGAACGGTGTTTACTTAGCAGAGGAAAACTACGTGTACGTATATCGTAACGACTTCTATGGTAACGATGCACTTTCTACATCGATTATATAACATGATTTTCTAAGTATTTTAGTGCTGTAGTTGTAAATGCCATATAGTCTCGTTGGTTTTGAGAGTCTTAAGGAGAGTTAAGGAAGATGACTCTTTCTTTTGTAGGGATATCACATCCAGACTGGAGACACAAGCAGCCGTGATAAAAGAACTGGAAGACAACATTGGGGCACTCACAGATGAGATAACAAAAGTATTTAAAACAAAATTTTCTGATGAGAATATCTAAATCCTACATTACAAGTGACAAACAAATTATATAGCTTGTATTTCAATGAATTCTGAATATGAGCGGATTTAATATGCATGTGGTACCTGTAAGAATAACGTAGTCTTACACTTGAAATGTAATTGTAAATGTAATGTTGCCTGATATTTTGCACAGTGGAACTAGTGCATATAATGGTGTAATTCTATCATAATTTCTTTCCTCTGCTTATACTTAGGTATCTAAGATTTTTACTGAAACTCAAAGCAAGCTGGATGAGAAGACGAAGACGTTGGACTACACAACCGACCAGCTGTGCAGCACTCAACGTGTGAGTCGTTGTTAAAATTCACACGGTCGTGTGAAGGTCATTGATCACTCTTCCACTACCCTATGTCATCCTGAAGCTATAACGAGTGATAGCCAATGCTGTGTAAACGCTCATGGTAACGAGCGATGTAAATGTTCGCTCAGTGAATGTGTCGGTGTAATGTTTATTCCATGAGTAACTGCATGTGTCGGTGTAATGTTTTGTTAAGGTGGGTGAGGAGTTGGCAGAAAGCAGTCGAGTAGACTCAGAATTCTTCAACGTACGCTGGCCCACCTATACTCGGCAGTGTCATGCCACGGAAGTGCAGTTCTCTGAATCTTATGCATCAGCACTGAAGACCGCAGCCAAGGGTGTTGGCGAAAAAATCGAAATGGTAAGTATATAGGTGTTGGAATTTTAATGAATCTTGTGGCTAATGATTGTAAATCATAATGTGAATGTATGCGTATGGAATGCGTATATGGCGCGATGGAAATGCCAAATACTATTTTTAAATGTGTCAATTTGAAACGTGGCATTTTTTTTCCATACACCCCAATCATAGTGTGGTCATTTTAATTTTCATAAAATTTCACTTTTTCTCAACATCAGATGAAGAGTGCAGAGCATATTGCTGAGACAAAGAGCTCGGAAGGCCAGGAATGTGTGAGCGCTCTGGAGCATGATAGCACTCAGCGATGGACAGACATGAATACATCGTTGACTTCCAGCGTAGATGCACTGAAGAAGGATCTCAATGCTCAAACCAACAAGCTCAATGGATGCAGCGAGGTAACGTGAATGCTCATTGAAGTCTATATTTATTTTGTATTTTTACATCTATATCTATATTTATATTCAGTGTCTATATAATTGACGAGATTGGATTGTAAATGTGTTTTGCACTCCCACATTTTTTTTTTCAAATCCCCTCAGTTCATATCCCTACTGTTTGTAATCATGTTTGTCTGATAGCATTCAACTTGGCTTTTGAGCAGTTTTACTGTTATTGCTGTACGACTACTCTTATCTACGTGTTTTTCCCTCCGCCAGGCATCTGTGAAAGAAGTAGCACGCGGCAAAGAACGCCTGGAAGGGGCACTCACGCAGCATCTGTCCGAACACTGCCAGCAGGTGGCAGCACAGATGCAGAACGAAGTGTCTCTGCAGGTGGCGCTGCTCGATCAGACTGAGAGCAATGTTCAGCAGGAGCTGGAGATGAGGAAGGAGCAGCTAGACACTTTCCTCGCTGACGAGCTCAAGGTGGATATCCCAACAGGTGGGCTACAACATGCTATTGAAGAGTTGTGGGTGTGTGTGTGTGTGTGTGTGTATGTGTGTGTGTGCGTGCGTGCGTGCGTGCGTGCGCGCGCACGCGTCACAAGTGTGCGTACAGGCATGTGCATGCGTGCGTCACAAGTGTGCGTACAGGCATGTACCTGTCTGCGTGCCTCCATGTGTGTAATGTGTGTGCGTGTGTAGATACAGCCATACGTTATGTGTATTACAACGTTTGCCTCTCCGTGAGTACTACTACTAACATCTGTCGCTTCGTCTGCGCGCGCGCGCTGCAGGCACGACTCCGCAGCGACGTGACTTCGCGTACCCGCGCACGCTGAGCCGGACCCAGCCCCACGACCAGTTGCTGCAGACGTATCGTGCCAGTGTAGACGTGAGCGACGCCATGAACGTCAGTCAAGCGCGCGTGCTTCCCCTGCCCGAGGACACGTTCGTTGAGGTACGGTTATTATTTTATATATCATGTTATATTTTATTTAGGTCGAAATAACTGGTTACGTTTACATATGTAGGTAACCACGATATGTTTTCGTCGGTGAGGTACGGGTGCATGTACTAAACTGCCTCCTGGTGGAAGAGCACTAGCACATAGTGTGCTGCAGACACTGGACAGGGCAGATGGGGCTGCATGAAAAAGCGTGGGCTTAGAGGCTTTATTTTAGCAGGGGTTAAAAATTAAGGTAAGACTTAAGAGTCTTGAGTCTTAATTTGTCAGAGATTTCGATGTGTTTGTATCATTTTCTTGTCATAATTGATGAGCTTGTGTGTGGTTGTTGTTATTGTGTTTGCTACGCGTTACGAATATAGACTGTGGAATGGCTAAAGTGCCCATCTTTAAACTGCTTTTAACCAATTGATTTATTTGAATAAGTAAGATGGTAAGTAAGTTAGAATGCCTTATTTCAACGCTGCCAGTCTACTTTCGGTCATACCGGGTGGATAGGTCATTAACGATGAAAGAATTTAAACTCGATATATTGAGTATTGTTTAATTTTCAGGAAGAGGACCAGGAGAATGTAAATCAGCAAAGCCTCGACAAAACTGGTAACTCAAGCAATCTGGACGTGTCAGACAACATACTTGCGTGCAAGTCACATCATACCAACGCCGCGCGCACGTCAAAGCTGCCTCTCAGAAACAACAACTAGCAGCGAGTGTTCATCTATCCGTACTGTGATCGTCTCTTCACGTACAATGCACTGTGAGCTACAAAGGATATACCAACACAAGAGATGTAACCATCTGTCTAACCTGTTTAATTGCCTTGTACACTGTGCCAGGTTAAAGCACCGGCTATATGTCCCATAAGCTATATTGCATCCCCACACAGCCACGCTAAAAGGGTCTGTGTCTTCCTGGGTACAGAAAACGGGGACTTACAGAAGTACTCGAGGTTATGATTAGTTACAGTTCAGACGAGCCAGTTACGTTCCAGTTACATTCTCTGTGATTGGTGCAGCGGTATCATGAAAAATCGTCATGATGCATTACTGCACGGATGACAATTTGCAAATTTACCAGCTTGGAAAAATCATTCTATTTACATTTGTGGCAATATGTGTTGGCTCTATCAGTCTATAGAATATGGACAGCAAGCTCTGCAACTGCAGGGGTATTTTCGTGCACTCCTGGTGAAGGTGAATTAACCAGGCTAGTTCCAGCGTGTTGGATATAGCACTCTCTGTATAATTCAATTACAAGAATTAAATGCAAGGTTTACAGTTTACGATAATGTGGAAGAGAACGACAGTGTGTGGTGTGCTATGCTCGATATCTTTTGTTCTTCTGTATAATTATTAACTACAAATGATGATTGAAGTTAGAGTGTAAGATTTGTATTATATTATCTGAAACTACATAGATTACAGTAGTAAATTAAACTTGATATCATTCGTTAGATAATAATTAGTCCCGCTATAAGACTTGCGCATTGCGGATTTTTCAAAATATATAATTTTTAACTTTTCTCCTCACCATTCCTTTATATTGTGTAAATGCCAGAGTATTGGCTAATCATACTTTCTTCTCTGAACAGCTGCTTATCGCCCCTGCTTGCTAAGATTGTGTCGAACGAGAAAGCTTATTTCATTAGTATCCTTTCATAGTTTTCTTGAGTGTTCCCTTAATTAGATTGACTGTCGCTGTTTGATAAATGTTTTTGTTTGGCGTCACCGCGATATAATAATGCATTCGACGCATGTACTTGTAAATATTACTCATGAATGGCGTTATAATAGAACTTTTGTTTTAAACGCATGAATGCTCGGTAACTGCACTATTGTGAGACGCGCACCACGACGTGTCCGATCATAACCGTGCTGCTTGGAATCATTCTAGTTATGACAAGCTATAACTAGTGCTTAGAGGGTCTATGTCCCGCAGGGTACTGCCGGAAGGTACCCTGGTACTATCTAATATGCCGGACCGTACCTCGCCTACTCCACTAACGAGTCTAGGGAGTCGCCTACGCCTACGCCTACTCCCTAACCCTAACCATATCAAATTAATAGTTACCAGGGTACGTTTCGGCAGTACCCTGGGGGCATAGACCCTATGAGCATAACGCGTGCTTAGATGATCCTGTTTAATTTCAGTAGATAGAGGACTTGATGTTGGATCGTAATGCCGCACGAGTCTCCTATTGCCCACAGTTCGCGTCATGTAGTGTTTTGAGGGACTAACGATTTCTTATCTGAGTGTGTGGGATTGAAACTTGGTGGTACCAGGCGTGAATAATGACATTATTTGTCAAATTTGCCATTTGCCCAGTTTGTCATTAGTCGCTCCCTGGTGGTACATGTCTCTACAGTTTGTAAGAACTGCTGCGTTGTCATTCAAATTAAAAAATATATTATGGTAAAAGGATTACTTAGGCTTAGTATATAACCTACTGTAATCGGAATGTTTTTCGTTGCGATGAATGGCAAATTTAATTAGTCGATAACGTATATATCATGTGTGAACCTTTCTATAATATTTGGTGCATTGTATTAGACAAATAAACCAACTTTTAACTTCTGATAGAAAATGAATTACTTATTTATTATCTTGTTGTGCAATTTGTGAACTTAAAAAGTAGTGTTCTTATAATGCATTGAGCGCATTTTTAACACAAAGCTAATTATAATCAGGAGTAGATAATAGGAATCTACTCCTGTTATAATGTAACGTCGAAAAAATTTCGCGGTGTGGTGGTTTTTTGTATGCATTCTCTAAACTAAATTGTAGAAAGCTACGTAATAACTATAGCAGATGCCTGCGAAAGAGGCGTATGACATGTTCATTCAAGAAGTTGGGTGTGTCACTAAAATGCTCACGCCACTGTACCTATAGATGATAAGAATGGTTGTGATGGGGGGCCGTCGTTTTGAGGGAGAGTACGTACCGCACGTGGGCGAACTTGCTATCAACACGTTACACACTAGAGAGAGGGAGCGGTCAGTCGTTCTCCCCCTCATTCAAATGAAATTTCTAATCACCCGAGATTATCATTACGAAAAAACAAAAGGTACAGTAACAGCGCATCACATCAAACACTCGCTCGCCCCTCGCACGCAGATTGCTTGCATCGGGTTTAAACCTGGTGACGCGTGGAAGCCAGACGAACGTATATGTACTTATTGCTTGCGTGTTTTACCGGGTAGTGGCTATCAATCGGTGTAAGGACCCGTAGTGAAGGTAAGAACCCCCGACACGACGAAGCTGCTATAGCGACAGACAGCGAGATATAAACCCTGACGTGAAACGCAAATATCGGTAATATATAAATCTTGTTCTATAGGAACATTGTTAGCTATGTACTTTACTGTTTGTTTTAGAATATCAATATGATTTAAACGGAATTTACTTGTGTTCGGCAAATCATATCATTTCAAATGTATTGCTTTCTATTTCTGCTTCCGATGGTAGCTTTCTCATTGTATGACTGGAACGTGAAATAGGATGGATGAGAATATCAAAACTCTGGATTATGCAACCGGACAACTGCTCACCGCAGTAAACGTAAGATGTCATCGAATTTTCCGATAGTGAATATCTTGCATATGCCCGTGCATGGGCGGATCCAAGATTTTTGAAAAGAGGGTGTCCAGGAAGAAATAAAGGGCACTTTTTCCTGCTTATTTTTCCTGGTGTTTTAAAAAGCTGCCGAAGGCCACTTAGGGGGGTTTGGGGTTGGGGATTTTTTTGTGTTAAATTGGTGCATTCTGAGAGCATCTGAGCAGTAATTTTGATGTCTAGAATGCAAAAATTGATCAGATCCGGTCCCCCGACCTCTTTGCCAATTTCTAGGTTTTTATAACGAATTTACATATATATATATAATATATAAGTAAATCTTTATCAAAAAAACTAGCGCTAAACAAGATTTCTTATGGAGACAATATAAGAAAAGTGTGTGTGGGTGTGTGTGTGTGCGTGCGTGCGTGCGTGCGTGCGTGCGTGCGTGTGTATGTC